ATGCACAGCTTCCAAGGCTTTATTTTAAAATTCACCTGTTTGGATAATGGAGTTATGGTTTTATACACAGCCTCTCTTTACTGGTCAACAGAGCAATACCTGCTCTTGTGGCAGGTGGGTACCAAACCCATAAATATGCTCTCCATCAACAGATGTAAAGGCACATCTTCTCTTTTTAGAGACAGAGGAAGAAACCACTGCCTTAAAGTTAGCTGCTCTCCCATCCTCCTCCCATACCCAATACTTGAATCAATTATTCATAAAACAAACTGACCCATCCACAAAACACATTTTTTTGCACACATAATACTCAATGATGAAACAGTGAAGTCCTGTTACTTCGAAGGTTTCAAAACTAAATTAATGTAGAAAATAATGCCTATCAAAAAAAACACCCAACATTTAAACTTCTACCAAAGCATCAAACATTTGCGGCTTTGTCCAGAACTATGATATCTTAACTTTAATGCTTTTTGAATTGAGGTTTAGCATTGTTTATTTTCAATTGTTACTAAGCATTCTGAGAATAATTAAACCTGAACAAACAAAAAAAAATACAGCCGTGGAATTGGGATTTGTCCAGGATCATTTTGTCTGTCAGTCTCCTACTGTTGTGTTCTATGTGTTCCTACTCAGTAATTTCCACAGTATTTTGCTGATCATTCTGATTTGACCTAGTCACTGTCATCTAGTCTAAAGGCAATATTAAATAACAAAAAGCATGTGGCCAACAATAATTTAAACACAATTTGTTCACATTGTTATACACAAAAACTTAACAGTACCAAATGACAATCAAATCCAGTAACTGGAAAACAGCACTCACTGCAGTAATTATCAGAATCATGAAGGTTGTACTCATTGTACTCAAAGTCTTGGATCACTCTTTTCCCTATGCTATTGTCTAGTTCTGTTTGGTCTATGATGTGAAAAATGCAATAGAGCACCATAATAAACGTATGGAGAGGAAAATAAGAGAATTGTTACAGTCAGTCTTCTGCAATTTTATATAAACAATAATGTTATGTATGTTACACAGAATGCCACTGGACATTTATATTCTAACAAACCTGTTCCAAATTTACTGAAGGGATGGTTGGGGTTTCCAGTAGCCTTCTCCAATTGAAACAACCTCCAGGCATCATTCATCAAATTCTTCTCATGCTCAGAATCAACAGCATTCACTTCCCTGTCTTTGCAACTTTCATCGAACAGGGGGCACAGAAAAAACTGGGCAAATCTAAAAAGAAAAAAATTTAGTTCAAGTTAAGAGTACTGTACATAAATTGTAACAGAAAAGTACAAAACTTGGTTCCTCCTGAAAACAGCTGAATACATTATTTTTTAATGCAGAACTTACGAATTCTTTAACAGTTTTGACACTGATTTGATATCCTTATTTCTCAATTTCTTTGTTTATAAATGCAGACAACACATCCATCATATAAGGTAGTACAAGAATCAAGGGCCTTACATCACAATTGCCACGGTGAAAATTTCTCCTATTCGGAGATTTAGCTGCAAGAGGCTCTTAATTTCACCAAGCAAGTAAGTCTTGTCAGGCATCCAGGGAGAAGCCAAAGAGCAAACTCCACCTCACTGACTACACACCTTTCAATTTCTGTCCTCTCCCACAAAACACTGAGATTTCAGCAAGTTCCCTCTACTAAGAGCATCCTTAAATATTTCTAGACTTCACCCTTGTTTTGCTGTCAATAAGGATCCCATGGGAAGCACAGAATTTGATTGCACCATCCCAGTGTTTGCACAATGTGTAAATGCATGATCATACTCTGTGCCTCGCATTTCCAAAAATATTCAGTGTAAACACAACACTTAAACTTCATCAATTCTGTCTCGATGAAGAACTCTCTTAGATGAAAAAAATCTGAGCAAGACTTTCAAACTGAAAAATATGTGGTTATCAATTTTAAGAAAAGATGGTTTTTACCTTTTTTAAAAATATCATAATTATAGAACTATCAGAAAACCTTTACAGTAATAAATTCAAGTAGAACATCTATAACAAAAATTTAAATACTAAAAAATGTGTTTACCTGTCCAGTGCACCTTCTAGATGTTCATGTGACACATCAAAGTAATAGTTGGTATGTTCACCACTCGTGAAAGCATTTGAGCTCCCAGCATGCTCACTTAGAAATTGGCTGTACTCATTCTCTTTTGGATATTTCTTGGTTCCCAGGAACAACATATGCTCACAAAAATGACTAAGCCCAGCAATGTTGGGGGGATCAGACAAGGATCCTGCAAGAGGAAAAATTTCATGTAGTCATTAATAAAAAGTAATACTAAAACATTAAGCCTTTTAAAGTACTCTATATTACAGTATGTTACTTCAGGAAATTATATAAATTCTGTGTCTGTAAGAAGACACCTGTGCAACTACAGTTAACTAAAATTAATCCTCAAAATATATTTTAAAATTTAGAATTAGTAACTGAACCAATTAGTGTCTCAAATTGCCTCTCCAGATCAGCTTGTACTTCCTTATACAGATGATTTTCAATTGAAGTCCATGACTCATAATCTGTAAAGACCTGGCAAATCACACTGTTCTGAAATCTATACCTTGACTTTAATAAATGCATTGTGTTAAGAGGCAGCAATTGCCAACCATAATTAAAGAGGTATCTATCCTGTGGTTTATAGGATGATTGATAACCTGTAATTGCCTGAACACAGGCAGCTATGGATGACCAGCTAGTAGGTGTGAAGGCAAACAGATTAAAAGACAACAATGATTTGGAAGAATGGAAACAAAGTTGGAGAGTGGCAGTCCCGCCTCAGAGTGTGCAGCAATGTGCAGTGGGACAGCAGAGATGAAGGCAACAGACCCATCTCCTCAGCACATGGGCAGGAACTGGATGCTGCAGTTGGCCATCACTGTCACAGGACCTAAACAAAACCACATTCAGAATGCTCTGAACAAGAGAATGATCTGGAACAGGCATCCCTGCAACAAAAAAGGCCAGAAGTTTTTGAAGTCCCTCTATTACTTCTGCCCTAACACAAAGAGCAGCAAGAGCTCCCAACTACAAACATGGCAAGAGGGTGTTTAGGTTATGCACACACTGCATCTTACTTTCCAACCAACTGAAAAACTACACAAGCTTGAGATATACCTCAGATATAAGAAAAGGCTCCCATTATTCCAAAGAGTCAAAGCAATTGCCTTCCCCTTCTACTTCCCATATTTCTGTTTGCACACATAGGCACCACTGAAGTTAGGGAGTGCCTCTCCAACTTCTCTAGCACTACAGCATTTTCTCACCTCTACACATCAACAACTTAGCATGAAAAAAAAAAGTCTGACATGACAGATGGAGCTGTCTGAAATAATTGCACTTGCACCCACCCCTCTTCTGCTTACAAAAGATCTTTCATAACATGAAACTTAATGGTTAAAAGCAGTCTTTCAACTGACTGAGCTACACTTGAGTAAACACAGAGTACAGTAAGAGCATTTAGCTCAAATAATTTTGAACTTGATGTGTCAAAGAATAAACTATAAATTACAGTAAAAGCCTAGGCTCCTGACTGCATACCACTCCTGTCACTTTATTTGCATCAAGATACCAGAACTTGAAGCATTTTTATTAATTGCATAATTAACACAATATGAATTGAATACCTATGTGGACATCAAGTGCTGCTGAGGACTTATCTGTGGTGGGGTCACTAATGAGAAGAGCTTTAATGCCATTTGCCAATTCCAGTCCACGATATTCTCGTTTATCCTCAGGTGATTTGATAATTTCATTTGTTATTCTCTTAATAGCTGGATTGTTCATTTTGTTGCTTGACTCCTTCTGAAACCTTAAAGAAAAAAGAAGAAATTTCTTATTATTTTCACTTAAGCCTTGCTAATTTTTTAATTTTATGTTAGACAATACAGGGCAATACAAACAGCTAAAAGTTCTATTACACACAAAATTCACTGAACTTGCCTAAAATTCAGACCCTGAAAGATATTGCTGCTAAAATAAAGAAGAAACCTTGAAGACCACGAAACACAATAAAGATACAGATCACTTAACTGAATGCTTCAAGTATCACATTAACTGCAACTGAAACAACCCGAACTTAATAAATGTCAACCCCTTACTCGATTACGATAAAAATTAAATCCAATGAAGCATATACTGCTATCTCAAGTATACTTTCAAACTTCAGGAAATTATTTCATGTATCTGAATTGCTGATTGTATTACAAGTGTTGTAACTCTGATTGTCAAATAAACAAAATTTTACTAACAGACCACTGGATTTGTACACTCAAGCAAGAAACAGCAACACTTTTGCAATAGTGCCACAAAAATACAAAGACTGCAGAACTGCCATGATAAACAGGAATAGATTGTCTCACTTATTTAAACTTCTACCATTAGTTTAACACATGCTACAAGATACCCTTCTTTAAAGACATTATTCTGAAATGCTAAGAATCTAAGTGTGACTGATTCAGAATCTGAATGCCTCCAAGCAAAAGCTATAAACAATATCAAGTAACTTTTTAAAATGTGCAGTTCAATGCATTTTAGAAGGAAACATATAAACTAGTAAAACATCATTCTCTTACTATGAAAATAAAAAAGAAAAGTGCAATCAAATGTAATCACTAAACAGTGGCTGAAATGCTGAATTTAAATTTAAATGTGTACACTCTCATTTAAACTGGTCATTTATCCACTAGTTTAACCCCCGTGCTCAGACTAATCCTGCTTGGAATGTATATGGCCTTCTTGCACTGAAAAAATGTATATACTATTGAAACACAAAGATTATTCCAACTACCACAGAGTGCATCAACAGCACTGACACAAGCTATGCTAACAATTAAAAGATGCTCTGTGTTCAGAGTTTTAAGAAATACTTTACTAAACTTAAGCTACTGTGTAGAATTTAAGTGAGTGCAGATACTTCTCATATATGAAAATCAGTAACAAAACTGTTCCTAATTGTTTTTCACTTGCACACAGGTTGGATTGACAGATCTAAGTATGCAGGAGAACAAGGACATCCCTTAAGCTCCTGATTCCATGTCTGCTAATGAACACCTATACCTTGGTTTTCAGCTAGAATATTCTAACTCAGTAAGATACTAGATGCCCGTCAGAAGACACATATATACTATAAACTTCTCGAGTTGTGGGTTTTTTTTAAATGTTATACAATGTCCTTATCATCTGATATATCTCCTTGTTATTTCCATACCACATCACTAAGTCACAGAACTTTACTGTTTGTTCAGATGACTCATCTTTCCAATGTGATTCATCAAATTACGCAGCTATGAAACCTTATGAGATTTCAACTGGTGTCTCGTGAAGCTGTACACCTCCACTTCATTTTATTATGATTCCCTACTTCTGCCTCCTTCATAGGCTACTTCCAGCTCGGTAGTGAAATTCCAGTACAGGAAAAAGCTACAATTTTCAAAAGGATGACATCAGTAATTAAGCCTTCAAACCAAGGACTGAAATTTGTACCTCCACCTTCACTGTTATTTCAGTGGGCATTGTGAATACAACATTCTCTAACTTCAAATGGGTTTGCATGATTACCTACGATTATTTTGCTGCAAAGTGAATCATAGTACCAGAAAACTCGAATAAAAGCAAGGGCTGATCAACTATGCAATGCTCCTGGAAGACAAATACGTCAAGAGGACAAGACCAACACCTTCCTGCTTACGTACTCTTCCTCCCGCTGATATGTTACTACAATACAAAAGTGAGAAGAAAAAATTTCACTTTAGAGAGAACTTTTATACCATTATGTTTTCTTAAGGAGTAAACTGCAAGATTCAATACTAAACATCCCCTCATATGACTGTTTTCCTGTGCAGCTTTTAAGTAAGTGCAATTGTGTTATAAAATACCACATTCCGTTCTTTCACACCAGAATCCTAAAACTCTATAAATCACTTTTTGACAATAGAACTACTTTTAACCAGTAGTTCTGGTTAAATCCTGTACTTATTGAGAAGCATCTTTATTTCTAAAGGCCATGTTCAGAAGTTGTCCTAAAGTCCATGTGCTACAGCTGCTTGCTGTACTGTCATTACAGTGAGTACTGGATGCTGCTGGTCAGTAGCAAAACAACTCTTCCACAAAGGAGGTGATATGTTTATTGCAGAGCTAACAGCCTAACAAAAACATTAAAAGAAATATTGCTTACTACTTTCACAAAGCAGAAGCAACAGAGAAAGATCTAATAAAGCCAAAATAGCAGGAATAACACAAACCATTACTGTGGCAGTGGAAATTCTTCCACTGGAAAGATTACAGAGGTAGAAAGAAAAAAACAGGGATGTCTTAGCTAAGAACAGTGTCCCTATTAAATGAATAGGAAATATTCTTCTTCTTCCTCATCAAAACTACTTCACTTGTACAAGGAAAGTATCAGTTAAAACCAACAGTGAATTTCAATTACAGCACTTCTACTGAAATTATATCTATTCTTTGAGGTTCCATTTTTGTAATCATTTCCAGGCAGGCAGTCCCTTGGAAGCAGCAAGGCTCTCTGGGGATGCCAGGTTTCACCTGCAAACAGAGCATTACAGAGTGGGATTAAGTGATATATGATTCTGCTTCACTATTTTAATCTCTCAGAGTTATTTTAGCAAAATTACTTTAATTAAAAATTAGCCTGTGTAGTCAAATCTAAGTCCAATGTTTGAACAATTAAAGGACCATATTTGAAAACCAATTAACAGAAACTCCTGAGGGTTGCTTCAATGCAAGAATGTGACTAGCTAATAAAAATATGACCCCCAAGGCACAAACTCCAAAGTGCTTCTCAAGGTTTTTTTTGTCATGACAGTACACACATACTGAAGTCAAGTGCTAGTACACAGGTCTGCTCCAGATGACAGGCAAGTTACCATCTCAGCAGGTTTTGCTGCTTGCTTTCTATCAAGTGCCTTAAAATGCACGTTTGCTACAAGTTTCTATACAACTAATTGCTTACAATTTACCAGAGTGAAGTGAAACCTTAATTGAGTGAGAACCTCTGTTCTGTCCTGCAAGGAAGTTACCATTGGTAACATGTTCTCTGTGCTGTTTACTAATCCATCTTGGTTTACATGAACTTCTCCAGCTGCCAATGCGTGGAGGGAAAGAAGTGCTGTGTGTTTGGCAGGAGGCCTGGTGCTGCAGAACTACCAGCCAGAGTTTTCTCACCTCTTACAAGGATGACAGCACCAAACTGAGCACTCTGGAGGAGTCCAAGAACTTCTTCAGTCCCAAGCTCATGGCTCTGCAACAACCATGTAAATCTGCATTCTTGCACAGGTCTGCACCCCTCTTTTTTGTCTCTTGCACCTACTCCTGATCATGACAGCAGTAGAATTATTTTATCAGTAAAACAATCAAGAATCTACCTACTCTCTTAACATTTCCATTCACCTGTACGTTATAATAATTTTTTTTAGACTAAACTGTAGGCAGGAAAGTGAAATCAATTCAGGCTGAACATTACCAAAAGGGATTCTTCAGGAGATTATCCATACTCTTTCAGGTTACATGTTCATCGATCATCCTTTTAGACACTTAGAGATTAAAATACCTCATGATTCAATATCCATAAAGCATCAGTCTTGTGTGAATTTGCTTGCCATGAAGCTAGAGAATGTATGAGATCCCAACACATTCCTGATACTGATCTAAAGAATTGTGACTGCAAGCACAGGCAGACAGACTGCGTAAGAAGATGAAGTGCTCAAAATGCTAACATGTTTTATCACTTTTAAACTCATCAGGAATTCAGCATACTACTTCATACACAAAAGGTCCGACTACAAAGCCCCACAAAGATTTAATCAGTGTTCCCAAGCTATTAAGAACAACTAATCATGCCAAATCAGGCAAGTCTGAAGATGATGAATATTTATAAGGCTTTGTTACGTAGTTTATTTTGAAGAAATTCTAAAGTCTCGCTACAATTAAAGCATTTTCAGAACCTCAGTCTGCAGCTTTTTGCCAAGTCTGTAATTGACTCAGAAAATTCCCTCCTAATGATGGTGGCCAGGGCAGATGGCTGCCATGCTCTTGTTTCCCAGAGTCCAGCTTCTACAACTTCTAGATCACAGCAGTAAAACTTGGTGTGCCACAGGCTGCACTGCCAACGTGACTGCAGAAACACTGGTGTGTAACACTGGTGCACAGGAATTTCCAGTAGCATTAATGAGCCCACACCACGTGTGACCTTGGCAAAAACAAGGGCCCTGGTAGTTTCACGTGTGAGATCAGCCCCAGCTGAGTAACTGGCCTGATAATTACAGGGATGTGCTGGCCAAACAAGATGGGATATACAATCAGACATCATAAAGCTAGTTTACTGCCCTAAATCTACAGTCCTGAACTTGACCACAGTTTCCAAAGCACTGGGTAAAAAAAAGTCAAACAAAAAGGCAGGACCATATACAATTTGATGCTTAGACAGAGCAATAAAGCATAACAAGGTTTTTTTAATCTCTTAATTACTTGAGCTTACTTTTCCTATGTCCTCAAAAACTGCCCCAAACAATTCATCCAAACCTCCAAAGTAAACAATCTCTAACCACATTCACAAGAAATAGAACAATTAATCTTTCCCTAACAATTCTTTGCTTCAATATTTTACAAAATTCCATAAGGGTTTTGAAGCGTTCAAATATTTGGAAGAGCTGTGGGACGAGGAGGGGTAAGTAAAATTATCTGGTTTTAATCTTTAGATACCATTAAAATATAGTACCATTAAATTTTCACAGATCTGGCATAGCAATCTGGCTTACATCAGTATTTTCAAATTGCATGTTAAGAACATGACTGACTGGTTTCAGACTAGTTTCTGCACTGTGACCAACTGCTTCAAAGTGTATTTTACAGATTTTCCTAAGAAATGTACTCATTAATTCAATTAATTGCTTTATCCATTGACTACTTGCAGACCAGGGGTTCTCATTCCCTCTTCCCCCCCGTGACATTTTTCTTCTGTCACCCTACAGTTGCAGGGCTTGCTCCACAACTGCAGGACTGCACACACACACTGGGAAATGTTCAACTGGATGCTGCAGGAGAGATCTCTGTGCTTTATTCTGTGTTCTGATGTGTATTTCATAGATTTTATGTGCAAGCAGCACATCAGATTGCCCAAAACTCTCTGTAAAGCCAACTCACTCAATGCTTTATGCTACCATCTGTCTTACACTCTCAAAAAGAAAAACTTGTGAGGTTTGTATTTAAAAAAAAAAAACAAGATAAGATTAAAACTTCAGTTATACTGCATAACAAGAAGAAATTCACAGAAAGATGAGAGAAATGGCAAGAAAATCTGATCTAGCAACAAAAACAGAGAGAAATCAGAATTCTGAATCATTAAAAGCACTGTAATCCCACATTAAAAGCAACTGTTTATCTAACACTAGAGCTTTGACATGAGAAACAAACCCATAACAATGAGCAGTTTACAAGAGTCAGTGGTGTGTTTCAACAAATGAAGTCCTGGCTGTTCACCTATTTTGTAGTTTAGTTTTTACTATTTTGGACAATTCTGGTTCTACTGTTAAAATTTTAAATAAACTCTGAGCTCTACCACATTCTTTTTCATATCAATTGCTCAGGCAAGCTATAGTTCTTACTCATTCTAAAAACAAGATGCAGAAGGTAAGATTTTAATAGAAAGCTGCAGTGAAGCAACTTTCAAACAGGATCCATCATAAATCACCTTATTATATACATACAGTACTATGTGGTAAGAACATTTTAGCAACTTATGGGCATCATAAAAGGTGAAAGCAAAGATACCCCCTGACAGATCATGCATATGCAAATACATAACCAGACACAAAACTGATTAAAGCAATTTCTATAGATTTTTATTACGAACTTTTTGATTTCTACGCTGCTAGAAGACTGGACACCAAAGTTACTATAGAAGCATCAAATCCAACAGAATTAATATATTAAAAATATCAACCCCACATGCCATTTCTCAAGTGGTCTGACTGTATTTTTAGTAAATGACTTCTACAATAACCAGCAATGACCCTTATAGCTAGAAGCCTAATACCTTCCAGTACAGTGAAACAGAGGTAATGAACTTCTTGTCCCTTCCCTCTTTCTTCTGGATCTTACAGGGGAGGGGAGTGCTGCTGTATTCATGTGCAAAATAAATTACATACTTGACACTTCAATCAATTCCCAAAGGTGCCATTTCATCCAAGGGATTAGACCACAGCCTGACACTGACTGAAGACAAAAAACAGAGAGCGAGCAAAAAAAGCAGGCAAACACAGAAACAAGAATCCTTCTAGGGACCTCCCAAATAGAACAGATCATTTTAATGCTGTACATCAGAGGAAAAGGAGGTAAGTTGTAACTGAGAAATTATCTTGCTACTTGACATAAAGATGAAAGTTAAAAACATTACAAAAAGTAAAAGTTCAAGCATGAACAAAATACAGAGATGGAAACAGGGAACATGTAACTGAAGAAAAAGATTCTTCATATTCACATCTCAAAAAAATTCTCGCATGAAAGAACTATGCCTGCTCTCATTTCATTATCATTTATGT